TGCGAAAAGACTTGCCAGCGTTCTTTCTTTTTAGTATTTGAAGTGATTTCAAGTGAAACGATTTTAGCGATTCCTTTGTGAATTGCCATTGGGTGTTCAATCCTAATTTCCTCTCAGAGAAGGAAATCATGGGAGGTAAATTTGAACATTACTGTAGAATTAGTAAAATTACAAGCAAAAAAGGAAATTGAGTCGCTTTAGCGAATGAGTCGTAAAATGTTAACTGTACCTTTATGATGGAGCTGACAAGGAGCGATTATTATGTATCCGGGTGAGATACTCTAGGAGTACTTCCACGTTGAAGCAGCCGAGAATCTGTTGGCGCAAGTAATCATGTAATGTGGCATTTTTGTACCCCTCAAATGTTACGATTAGGACCGCTTTCGACCCTCTCTGTCTGTCTTGACCTAGAACTGTCCTGCTCTGTGAGAGCAAAACGACCGACGTTCTCTAATGCCTCCTCTTCTGTTTTATTCCATCCCATCTCATCTATTTTACTTTGAAACCATTTCCCTGGTCAGTTATTCGTTCTAGCAACAACGTTCATACAAAAATGTACCCCAAACAGGACAACACACATCTGAAGAAATCATTTATTACTGACCCTGATAACGGACACAATCGAAGTAGATTTGGGTCTAAAAGCGGGATGTGTGAAGTATAGCACCCATATAGGTAGAAACAACAATAAGTCGAATTGAAAAGGTCGCAAGGTCAATGCAACATTGACGTCGTAGTAGACTAAGAAATAAGTCTGGAATAGAATGTAATAGAATGTAACGTTAGGTCAAATCAACCAGATTTTTATCAAAAACCAACTTTCAATTTATTTAGTCGGAACGAAGAAGATTGGCAGAAAGAACGGCAATTAGTATTTATCTCTATAGACTTAACAATTGCATAATCAGAGATTATAAAGGTCCCTGAGAGTTGCGAACTGTAAGCGTTACAGCTACTAGCTTTTAATTTAGGTTCGAGTATGTAGCCTGGCAACTTTTTTAAAATCAACTGAAAAACTTCAGTTTAATCTGCATGTTTATGACTGATGGATCGCGGATATTCACCATTTCCTTGCCAAGCATGAATGTCTGGTTCGTTGATTTCAGGCAATCCATGATGGCTTTCTGAGTTTTGTTCACGAAGAGGTTGTATGCATCCTATCACATGCTATTACAAGAGCCAAAAAACACTAGGATTGTAAGGCACCAGTACACCTGCCCTGAAGAGAAGTGGAGATGTGGACATCTAAGACAAGGAGAAATAGCTCTTCTGTTTAACGTGGTAATCCTGGAGCTCATGAGCATCGATTGCGAGGAGCCAGAATCGAAAGAATCTATTTCTCATGGTATAAGGGATAAAGGGCTTATCTTTGGTGAGCAGGTGGGAAGCAATGCCGACCATGACACGCATGCTAGATAGCGCGTTGGCGTCCCACACAGGATGTCCTTGGTAAAACTGAGTGACTCAGATAGTGACTCGACTATGTGGTCTTGAATAGCGTTCAATGTTTTTAGAGGCGAACCGCAGCAGCCCTTTTACTCTCCCACCCCTCTCTCTTGATGATTCCTGTTTGGTACTGCAACATCAATGAATCAATGGCCCTCCTCCTCAGGTGCTTCCTTTAGACCACATTACCGTAACCATCGTTCTCGACTGTGAGCATGAGAGTGTGGAGTCAGTTACTTCGCCTCCCAGTAACCTATGCTGCGTGTTGCAGGCATTTTGAGAAAAAGATTTTTTATGTTTCGCTAACCGAAAAGTTTTCACTTCGTAATTACAGACGTAACAAACTTACATTGGTAAATGTGAGAGTGAGCATACAAAAACATGTTGTCAATGTGAGGATTGTGAGCGATCTCTCGGCTCTAGCCATTGGAGCACTTCGATCGCTTGTACTGTAATAAAATCTTTAATTAAAGGGTATAAAAACACATACATATTCAACCTTCCAAAAGGAATAAACTCTGGTCGAGGTGGTCATTGTGGTACCTCCCGACAGTAACTAGTCAGTACTATTCGTAACTCGTAATTGTCATGCACATGCAACAAAATAGTGCTCCAAAAATTTCCTCATTTCAGCAAACCCTCCAGTAAGTTTCCAGAGGACCGAATTTATCTTTTGCGTATCTGAACAAACAACCCCTTGGTTTTAACTCATTCTCATAGTGCCGTTAGAGAATTAAGCAATATTGTCTTATTTTCGGTGTATATTTTAATTGTGAATTTGTAAATGAGGGTCAAAAGGAACCTTCTGGAGACGGTACGAAGTTTAACCAATGTAGCAGCGGATGACATCAAAAACACGGTTGAAGAAGCACACGCAGAAGCCGCCAAGCACATACTATTCCGCCACTGTAACTCTCAATATCTAGCCTCTTTATTTTATCTTTACCAAGCAACAAACATCATCTTTCAATCTTTACAAATAAGGAGACATTGACATTAGTAGTGGAGACAGCACATCAAACAGCCAAGGACCCGAACTGATTCCTCACCTGAGGATAAATTTTTTTATAATCGTAGCCAACACCATAGCCAGGAATCATTCCGATCCTAATATACGTAATTACTGAATAGAGGAACCACGTTGTCAGTATTGGTAGCAAATATATTGTCAAGAAGAATATTGGGAGCAGTTGTTTGACTAGCTGAAATTACTGTAACATAAGAAGTTTCAAGGATGTGTGTACGAACTAATACAGATTCCCTGGAACAGAGCAAAACTGAGAGAGTATGAAGATTCAGTTGATCTGTGTTATGCCGCTCTTCATTGGTGCTGTTGTCTATAAGTAGCGCTCAAAAGTATTCGGCGAAATGCTTCTTCAGTCGTACTTTCCAGTCGTAAATTCTTTCCTACTGGATCTAATCATGCGAAATTTCGATATGTGTAGCATGGGTGTGTTGTGAATATTTACCACTAATATCCTGCAATCTGATCATGTTCCAGATATCGCAAAGGGCTTGGA